GGTGGGGTGGGTAGGGAGAAAAATGCAACAATGAATGAATGGAATTCTAAAATCTCTATAGATGTTCATTGAAATGAATAATAATAATAATTTTTTTTAAATCAAGGTTATTACAAAAATCAATAAAAATTCCTGAGCTACTACAAAACTTTAAGGCCTAGAGATCACACTGCAAAACAAGGCAGAAAGGTCCACAGCTATGGATTCACTGGTGCATATATACATACAAGAATATTGATTTTATTATTTCCACAGGGCACAGCTGTCCTAGACTTGAACGAATAAAGTCTCAAGGTTGATGAGCAAACTTTTTTTATTAAAAAAGAGAACGATGAGACCAATAAAGTGCAATCATAAATTTAAAGTGTGTTAACAAACATTCATGTCTTTCTACCTCTAATGGGGGATCTCTGTGATACTCTTATTCTGAAGTAGGTTCTAATTCCTACAGGAACACAGGAGTTAAAAGGATTTTAATATAAATACTTGAGATAGACATCATAAACACATAATTCCTCTTGGGTATTCCACCTATCCACTCTGACAGACACAAGCCCCTGACTTGAGGAAATGCAAACTGGTTATGTGGCTCATATAACCCTCATAAGTGGTAACCTATAATTTGGTCATAAAGGACAGCAGGTAAATAACACATGAAATTCACCAATTGTTTTGTCACATTGGGTTTATCTTTGCTTTAGGAAAATAGGCCTCAGTCCGTAGGATAGCAATAAACAAGAAAAAGTCCAACTTAGCAACTACATTTCTTGAAAGGAAAAAAGTAAGAAAATTGTTTTCAATTCCACAATGGTTTATGACCACTAGCGTTCTGTGAAAGTTGTGTATCACAATACAACTTGAAATGGAGCTTGCACTAGTTGTGACTTAGGAAACAAAAGAAAACATCTGGCCATAAATAGACTATCAGTAGTTTGACCAGAAGGAAAAAAGCTGTGATCCAGTTCTCAATGAAAAGCAGTATCTAATAAAAAGATAAAGCGACTAAAAAGACCTCTGTGCTTACAGATGATGTTTCTTATTTACTGAACAAACTGCACAACGTCAAAGCACATACATACACATACAAAAGGAACAATCCAGAGCAAACCTGACCGTGACGGAGCTGTGCAGAAAAGCAAGACAATAAATTCTGAGCTCTTCTTTTCATTTCAGGGAAATCTTAGTGTTTACACTATTACTACACACATACTACCAGTGGAGAAAGATGAAATGCTACCAGAATGGGGGAGTGGGGGGGTGTTCTTTGAACATAGGAAGTGCACACTGAGTACCTTTTTCCAATAAAAAGTAATATAAAGAATTTCTTTTTTTACGATTTCCAGTTCAGATTTGAAATGCAATCGCTTTGTCCACGATCCCGTGTCTAGGAGAGGGCTTTTCCATCAGGCCGTGCGTGCAAAGTGCACCAGGCAGAAGCTACCCACCACCCATCACGCATTCCCAGACTCTTAATGGAGTCACTCCAGAAACCAAGCGGCTCTGACTTCCAGATTATTAATGTGATCTGAGATGCTGAGAACACATTTCTTTCTGTCCAGGCCGGACCTGTAGGGCCACTTCTCTCCACAGCAATCTCCAGTCATTGCCACATTGAGTAGAAGTGGCAAGTGGGTGGGAACATCGACGCTGGCCTGGCGATTTACCTCCTGTCTTTACACAAACACAGAATTCATTTACTGGGGTTCAACTTTCTCTGGCTTGGTTCTTGTTTGATTAGAGCTGAACTGCCCCCAAGTATTGAACTGCCCCCAAGTATTCCAAATAAGTTCCAACTCTACCTATTTCCAAAATAACACAGCTAGGAGCTAAGAGCGCCTGCACCGCCTCCCGCCAGCCTCGCGGGAACACCCCCGCCTGGGCGCCCCCTTCAATGTCTGCACCACGCGAGTCACCCCGAGGCCCCCAGTGCCCGGGCAGCGCCATGCCCCGGGGACTCCGGGTTTCAGGGTGGAAGGCGCACTCTCACCTTGTTGAGGTGGGGGTTCCGCGTCACCGGATAGCCGCGCTGGTGGGTGTGGCGGCGCCGAGGGGCTCGGGGCTCCATGGCTGGCAGGCGGCTCTGGGCGGGTGCGGGCGGGCGCGAGCGGCACGAGCGCTGTGGCTGGTGGATGCTGCCGGAGCGCACGCTGACTGCGGCGGCGGCCGCGCCGGGAAAGGCCCTGCGGCCGGGGGCGGGCGTGGGTGGTGCGAGGGGGCGGCCGCGGCGGGAGGAGCCCGCGCCACGCCGGTGTCCCCAGTCCGGCAGCTATGAGAAGCGCTGAGTCATGGCAGGCGATCAGCCGAGCTGGCGCGTGAAGAGAAGGGCGAGCGAGGCCGCACTGGGGGCCGCGGCTCCTGCAGCAGGCGGCTCCCCAGCCCCGCGCCCCAGGGACCGGTCAGCACCCGGCGCCCGAGGCATTGCGCTCCACGCGCGCGGCCTGTGCTCGGCGTCGTGGCCACAGGCAGAGCACTTGTCAGCCGTCCTGTAGCAAATAGCTGGGCGTCGTGCGCCCAGCAATCTCCTTTCCCCAGAGACACCGTAGAACAAGGCCAGGTTTTCTCGCCTTCCCCGCGGGCGCCATCACCATGGGAAACGGCGGGGATCAGGGAGTAAAGGCTCTTAGAACTGACGGGTTCAGGCGGGGAAATTCTCCCGGCTTGGAAGGGTGCTAGCTGGAGGGAAGGGCTCCAGACGTGAACCTGGGCGGTTGTTTACAAGAAGACCTTGACTCGAGGGTCGGGGTGAGGGTGGGGGTGGGGGTGGTAATCAGACTCATCTCTCCTTTCCTGATAGTCCCTGAGAAGGGCTGTGTATTCACAGCTCCAGAGCGGCGTCCTGGATACTAGCCATGCCTTGGGGCTCCAAGAAGGAGGGAACCAACCTTGACCCAGAAAGCATGCTGGAATGAGGAGAAAGGCAGAGAGGAGCGCATGCCTATCAACTACAGTGAGCTGCTTTCTATACATTAGCCATGGAAATGTCTTTTGGAGTCACTGAAATAAAAAATCCAAGTGTTAAGTTGCAGAACTTGAATGATCACTCATATTTACCTTGTGAATAATTTTCCAAACAGTTCTAGAAGCAAGAATGTTCCGGAAACACTTCTCTGACTGAGTGAAAAATGAGTATGATGGGCAGTAGTCTCCCCTGCGATTTACAGCCTCTGAAAATGCTCCAGAAGGTCAGCTGGGGATGGATTTTACCGTAGGGCACTTAACAAAACCAGCACCAGTTCAGTCTTTAAGTGCCTCACTTTCTCCACTAGCAAAATGAAAGCAACAGAGTCTATGATCTCCTTCTGGCTCTGGTATTCTTTATTATTGACCTTTTAACTTGCAGCTTCAAAACTGAGTGATAGTAAATCAAAAGGAGTGTCCAACAGAGAAACTTTAAAGTTGCCTGTCCTCTAGTTCCTTTTCCGTTAAATAGGATCGTGTTTTTCCCTCTAGTAATTTGTACCTAATAATACAAAATACAGTACTTCGCCCTATCTGCCCTCTACTATGCAACCCGGATATATTTACATTGCATGCAAAGCATGCAAATATGTATTTAGAAATATTCTCTGCCAAATCTATATCTACTTGTAGACGTAGTCATTTGTACCATCCCACACCTGTTGAACTTGCATATCTACTTTATATTCACTGGCAAATGATTGTTGCTGCAGTAATATTTGCCGTTATTGTCTTGCTATTTCGTTCTTCCCAATGGCTTCCTTTACCGTGGAATCTTGCTCCTCCCTTCTTGTGGATAGTGTTTCCTTCCTCAAGTTAATGCAAGTCGGCTACCCAGTTGGTGTTTTTCCCTCCCTCCCGCTTTCGACTCTGGTAACCACCAAAGAGTGTTTCTTTCTGTCCTTAAACCTTTTCTTGACTTTCATAGGAGCAGTCTCTTCCATTAGTTGTCTTTTTGTGACTGATTTCTTTCACTCCACATAAAACATTCTCCACGCTCATCCGTATTGTGAGGCACTTCCTGTATTCTTCATTATTCTTTAATCTTGCATAGTATTCCACTGTGTATATGCGGTAATTTACCAGTTCATCCTGCCATGGGCACTGAGCTAGTTTCCATCTTTACATTATTGTAAGTAATTCTTCGATGATCATGAGTCCATCACTTCTGTGTATATCACAGCTCTTTCCCTTCTAGGCTGTATATCTAGAGATAATATATTTCTATTTCCAGCTTAAAAAAACACGTGCTATACTGTTTTCCATATGGTTGTACAATTTCACAATTTATAATTTCCAGGTTTACAGTATTCCCATTCTCCTTACTAGCATTTGTCATTTGTTTGGGTTTTGTTTGGTTTTGGTGTGTTTGAGTTTTTTTACTATTGCTGTTTTATTAACCATTATTTTCTATTATATTATTGCCAGGATGCAGTCACAGCTCATTTTTTTTCTTTATATTTCTTTAATGGCTAATGATCACAAGTAATCATTAAAAGTGTAATGACTGTATATTTGTAGCATCATTTAAGTAATACCATTCACTGTAAATTCCATAATCCATAAAAAAATTAACCTATCAACATCAGAGGAAAGCATTATACTTCATGAAACTTACTCACTGAGAAGAAGCTATACTTGACACAGTTCACTCTCATGAATTAACAGAGACACATTATAATTAAGGTGCTTTATCTGAGACAAAAACAGTTCATTATAGGCCTGAGCATGAGATACTTAAGAAGAAACCAAAAAAGCACAGTATACAGAACTTTATTATAACAAAGTTCTTACTACACATATTTAGATATATTACCTGTCTGTTCCTGTTTCTGAGATATACTGTTAGATAAGAAAGCATATATAAATATAGCGAGTAACTTAAAAAGAATGTGTGGCTTATTTCCCCAAACAAACATTACAAAAGATTACATTATCTTGCCAGTGCTGGTAAAATTCACATCTTACTTCTATGTATTTACTTGTATTATAGAGAGAGCTCCAGTCATCTGGAATAACAGGTTGAGGCCCAGTAGAAGGAGTAACTTTCTGTCTTTATGTGCATCTCCAAGAATATATAGAAGAGCTTATTTTTCCACATTCAGAGCACCAAAATTGTCAGTACTTTTAAACTTTTTATGAGTTAGATTAAATCTCTGAGTGGTTGTAAACAAATAGTACTATACTATTAACCCACAGTTTTATTCTGTTCTAAACAAAAACAAAGAGGAAAAGTAAACAAACACCTAGGAACTAATTTTTTTCTTTAATTATCCATGTGAAGAACTACAGTTGTGAAGTATGTTAACTTTGGTGTGATTCACACTTTCGAGACTAGAACCTGTGGATTTCTGTTACACAGTTGAGAATACTATCAATCAAAATAAAATTTTCTTGCCCAACTTAAAATCTGCTTCGGACACAATGACATAGGCTAAAGTAAGATTATAATAGGTCTTCTGATGCAATATCTTTAGTTAGGATCAGTATATTAAATCCAGGAAATTGAGATAGAGCATGTAGCAATTTGGATTTTTTTTTACTTTCAAGAGAAAAATAATCTACTAGAAAAATAAGTAGTTATGAACTTTATGAGGGAGAACGTGGGATCAGGATTGGAGGACGACACATCAACAACCTGTATAACACAGAAGACACAACCTTGCCTGCCAAAATACTTGATAAGAACTTGAAATGCTTGCTGCAGAAGACCAAATACTATAAAGACTACAGCCTTCGATATGGATTGCATCAAAACATCAAGAATAAAACTCTGCACCACAGGGCCATTAGGCAATATCATGATGTTGTCAATGTTGTTGTTGTGCAATTCATAATGACCTTATGTATAACAGCTCTGAAGCCCGCCCTGTTGTAAGCTGGTCTTACTGACTCCAACACAGTGACCCCAATAACTGCATCAATCCATCTCATCCTGGATCTTCCTTTCCTGCACCAGCCCTGCACCCTTCTGAGCATAATGTCCTTTTCCAAGGACCAGACCCTCCTGGCCATGTGCCCAAATTATGTGAGACAGAGCTTCAAAACCCTAGCCTTCAAGGACAGACTTGGTTTCACCCTCTCCAAGTTGGACCTATTTGTTTTCTTGGCAGTCTGTGATATGTTCAAGACGGTTCTCCAGAACCACAACTCAAAGGCATCAATTCTTCTGTCATGTTATGGTAGATGGAGAAAAGATTTTACAATCAATACCCTTGTCAACAGCAGTCTGGAAATTGAGACTAGTTGTATTGAGAAAATTTGCTGTCTAGGACTTCTTTAGAGCGCTAAAGAGCAACAGTATCAATCTCAATTCTAAGATGTGCCTGATCCAAGCTGTAGTCTTCTTAACTGCTTACTCCGCATTTAAAGACTGGACAATGAATAAGGATTACAGAAGAATTGGTACCTTTGAATTGTGGAGTTGGGGAAGAGTGTTAAAGATACCATGGACTTCCAAGAGAACAAACAGACCTATCAGAGAGTAGGTGAAAATGATTGCTTCTTGGAGGCAAGGATTTTGAAACTCTGTCTCACACATTTTGGGCATGTTGCTAGAAGGGGCCCATCCTTGGAGAAAGACAACGTGCTTGGAAGGGTAGAAGGTCAGCTCAAGAGAGAAAGACCCTGGATAAGATGGACTGACACAGTAACTGTGGCAGTGAGATGGTGCTAAAAATATGCCAGAGATGGTAAAGTTGGCTCAGGATAGAGTGAATTTCAGAGCCATTGTTCATAGAGTTGCTATGAGTAATAGTCAACTCAAAAGCACATTACAACAACAGCAGCAATATATGGTGGTTTGTAGCGTTCAGAAAATGATTCTGTATTTCTTCACACCAAAAGCCCATGTAGTTTGTAAAACTAAGTTCAGACTTTAAGCTAAAAATCTCAGCATGCCTTATTCTCAGTGAAAGAACTTCATATTTTAAGGCTTTAGGTTGAAAAGTCTAGTTTTTGATTAATTAAAAGAGGGCATGTTTTCCAGAGTTGTTTAAATTCATAATAATTGGAGTGGTCAGCCCTCTGGGTAGTGCCAGCCAGCGAGTTGACTTTTTGCTTGTATTGGTAGTGAGGGTGCTACTTAAATGAAAACTAGTCTTTACCT